AAGGGTATTCAGAAATCTGTGTTGTTGTTGTGTGCCATGGAATCGGACCCGACTCATAGCGACCCCTCCTTGGGTTTCTGAGGCGGTATCACTACGAAAATAGATTGCCCTTCCCAGGAGTGGCTGGTTGGTTTGAACCGCCAGCCTTCTGGTTAGCAGTCAAGTGCCTTAGGCACTACACCACCAGAGCTCCCTTAGAAATCCATAATGGTTACTAAATTTTACTGTATCCTTTTTTAGGTCAACAGAACTTTAAACTTTGAATTTTATTAAGGCTTTTTTCTTTTAATTTATTGTACTATATCACATTAATTGCATTCCAAATATTGAATCATGAATACACTCTTTTTTATAAACGTCCTTCAAGCAAGATGATACATTTTGCTTGTAATACACTGCTGAGTTTGGAATGCCAATAATCTAGTTATGTTTTGCATCAAGGTTATGCTGACCCCACAGGTTATTAGGACTTTGTTTCTGGAACATTTGATAGCAGTCACTGAAAACTGATTGACCTTGGTGCCTTTTTTGGTGTGTATATCTCTAACGTTTTTAAAAACATCTTCTGTGAGTTTCAGACCAGGTTTATATTCTTTTGAATCAGTTTTTGAAATCTGTTTCCCAATAAAATATTTGAGAAATAAAAATACAGAAGTATTTCAATTACATTAAAAAAAAAAAAAAATCCCTGACTCCTCACCATCCGGAACTGACAATATTTGCTTAAATTATTTTTAAAATTGTTAGGTGCCATCAACTTGATTCTGACTCATAGTGACCCTGTGTACAACAAAATGAAACGCTGCCTGGTCCTGAGCCATACTTAGAATCATTGCTATGTTTGAGCCTATTGCTGCAGCCAGTGTGTCAATTCATCTTGTTGAAGGTCTTTCCCTTTTTCTCTGATCCTCTACCAAGGATGATCCTTCTCCAGGAACTGGTTCCTCCTGATAACAGGCCCAGAGTATGTGAGATGAAGTCTTGCCATCCTCACTTCTAAGGAATATTCTGGCTGTACTTCCAACAGATTAGTTCTTTCTTCTGGCAGTCCACGGTATATTTAATATTCTTTGTTAACACCATGGTACAGGAACTAAAATATTATAAATGAAGGGGATGTTCTTTTGTCCCTCACTCTCAACTGCATACTGTAATCCTCACTACAAGGTAACTTTTCTCATGGATTTAGTGGTTGCTATGGCAGTGGATTTGGTTTTTGGTTTGGTTTGTTTTGAGTGTCCTAGGGCTGCCATAACAAAATACTACAAACAGAGGGGCTTGAAACAATAGAAATTTATTCTCTCACAGTTCTGGAGGTGAGAAGTCTGAAATTAAGTTCAAAAATGTAATTAAGGGTAGTGCTTCCCCCAAATCCATTATGGGAAGATTCTTCTGTGCCTCTGTCAGCTTTTGTCTGTGTTCCTTGGGTTGTGGCTTGTGGCTTGTTTATGATTCAGTGTAACTCCAATCTCTGCCTCTGTCTTCACGTAGCCACCTTCCCTCTGTTTCTGTGTGTCTTTCCATGGTATTTTCCTCTGTGCATGTCTGCATCTCTTCTTTTTTAGAAGGACGTCAATCATATTAGATTAGGGCCCACCCTACCAAACTATCTTAACTAATTAACATCTGCAAAAAAATAAAACCCTATTTCTATGGAACAGATTTTCCCTCAAAGCCTCAGAAGGAATCAATGTGGCCAACACCCTGATCTCTCAGATTCCAGAACTCTGAGACAATACATTTCCCTTTTTAAAAGCTATACACTTTGTGGTATCTTATGAAAGAGACCTGGTAGTGCAGTGATTAAACTCTTAACTTCTAACCAAAAGATTGAGAATTCGAACCCACCAGCTGCTCTGCAGGAGAAAGATGTGGCAATCTACTTCCAGAAAGATTTATGGCCTTGGGAACCCTATGGGGAAGTTCTACTTTGTTCTCCAGGGTCATTATATGGCAGATGGTACCCTCCATTACTTTGATAAGAAACATTTAGCTGGTTCTTGTCTCATCTAAGCCTGACTTGCATTGTAATGGAAACTATAGTTGCTGCTGGCTCTTTTTGTTATCTAGAAGTGGCACCAAATGTGACTAGATTCTAAGTCTCCTTGATATAAGGGAATTCCATAGAGATTCCAGTTAGTGCCACCATAGTAGTTAGTACCAGAAATAAACTGTAATGCACAAACCAAAGGTAGGTAATTTATAGTACACCTTCAAGAATGGTTCTAAACCTTTACAATAATTCTTCCAAAGTATCTTTTACTTCCATAAAACCTCACTTTTCAAGGTTGGTCATTACACTTAAAGCACTATGAGACACTAAACAATTTTTTTTTTTCTTATTTAGTCAGTGTTACAGATTGAATTTCTACCACTTATCTGTCAGTTTGTCGTACTGTGGTGGCTTGCATGTTGCTGTGGGGCTGGCAGCTATGTCACAGTATTTCAAATACCAGTGGGGTCACGTTGTTTTCATCATGGTGTCAGAAAGGTGTCCCTGGAGAAGGATATCATGCTTGGTGAAGTAGAGGGTCAGCCAAAAACAAGACCTTAAAGGAGATGGATTGACACAGTGGCTCTAACAATGGGCTCAAGCATAGCAAGTGTTGTGAAGATGGCGCAGGACTGGACATTGTTTCATTCTGTTGTACATAGAGTTTCTATGGGTCGAACCTGAGTGGATGGCACCTGACAACAACAATATGGATTGAATTGTGTTCCCCCAAAATAAGTGTTAGAATCCCAACCCCTATACTTGGGATGTAATGGAATATAATCACTTTTTACATGTATTTTAATATAATGTAATCACCTTCCACAGGGCACTTGACTGCTAACCAGAAGAATGGAGGTTCAAACCCACCAGCCACTCCTCGGAAGGAAGATTGGGCAATCTACTTCCATAGTGATACTGCCTTGGAAACCCAAGGAAGGGTTGCTATGAGTCAGAGCCAACTCGACAGCAGTGAGTTTGGTTCTTTTTGGTCCACAATGCAATCTAATGTAACATAATCGATCAGTCAGTTGATGCCATGCCAGTGTAGGGTGGATCCTAAACCTAATCACTTCTGAGTTATATAAAGAGTAGCATAGACAGAACACACATGTATACATGAGGGAGGAGACAACTGGCACATGAGGATCATCTACAAGCAAAAGAACCCCAAGGACTGCTGGCAGACACCAGACACTAGAAGAGAGTCTCAAAAGACACAATATGGCTGAGACCCTAATTTGGACTTTTAGCCTCCAGAAATGTGAGAAAATAAATTTCTGTTCTTTAAAGCCACCCGCATGTAAAATTTATTAAAGCAGCACTAGAAAATTAAGATGTGTTTAGAAATGTAATTTTAAAGATTTTATTAAAATTGTATTTAACAGTAGAGTGAAAAGGATGTTTTCATTAATGGAATGTCTTCCATTGTTATCATAATCATTGTTTTGACCTAGAAAACCTCAATAACTAGTAACCAGTTGCTATTGAGTTGATTCTGACTCATGGTGACCCCATGTATTGCAGAGTATAGCTGCTTCATAGGGCTTTCAAGGCTGTGATCTTTTGCAAGGATATTGCCAAGGCCTGCCTTCTGAAGTTTCTGAGTGGGTTTGAACCACCAACCTTTAGGATAGTAGTCCCTAAAGTGCTCAGCTGTCTGGGCACACCTGAAAACCTCAATACCAAACCAAAAAAAAACTAAACATTTTGCTGTCGAGTCGATTCCAACTCATAATGCCCCCCTGTGTTACAGGATAGAACTGCTCCATAGGGTTTTCTTGGCTGTAATCCTTACAGGAAGGAGCTCTGGTGGTGTAGTACCTAAGACACTTGACTGCTAACCAGCAGGCTGGCAGTTCAAACCCACCAGCCGCTCCTTGGCAGGAAGGTTGGGCAATCTACTTCCATAGCGATACTGCGTCAGAAACCCAAGGAGGGGTCTCTGTGAGTCAGGTCTGACTCCACAGCACATAACAACAACAGCAACAATCCTTACAAAAGCAGATCATCAGGCCTTTCTTCTGTAATGCTGTTAGATGGGTTTGAATGCCAACAGTTAAGTTAGCAGTAAAGCATAAACTATTTGTACCACCTAACCAAAAACAAATAAACAAACTCACTGCCGTTGAGTTGGACCCGACTCATAGCGACCCCTCCTTGGGTTTCTGAGGCGATGTCACTACAGAAGTAGATTGGCCAACCTTGAAAACTTTGGTAGACCTTATGAATTTAGAGATCAGTGATATTCATAATGGAAAAATACATATTCTTTAAAAAGTTGCTTTTCATTTTTCTTATGTCAGTTTAGTTAGTATCCTTGTACTGTAATGATGCTCACTTGAAAATGCTGAAAATAATGTCTCATCTCAAGGCCAACTCTGCACAGCCAATATGGCAGGCAGCATGGTTACCTGCTCGTACAATTTTGTCTTTATCAGCCAGTTGAATTGTCAAGATGATTCCTCATTCACTGGACAATTTCACAACCCTCCCCTTAAATTTGGTTG